GCATTCATGAATGGGAAGAAGCCCTGCAAAAGGAACTCAAAGCTTTGAATGACAATGGTACATGGGACATTGTTAATCTTCCTAAAGGAAAAAGACCAATTACGTGAAGATAGGTCGACAAAGTTAAACTCAAATCAGATGGTTTTGTTGAGCGATTCAAATCATGTTTAGTTGTTAAAGCTTTTACACAAAGAGAAGGAATTGAATTTCATGAAACATTCTCAGTTGTGGTCAAAATTCACTATAGTATGAAGTCTTGTTGCACTTGCTGTTAAAAACCCTTGGGACATTCATCAATTTGATGTCAACAATGCTTTTTTGCATGGTGACATACATGAAGAAGTTTATATGAAGCTTCCTCCTAGTCATGACATTACTTCTTCATCACTTGTATGCAGACTTAAGAAATATCTATATGGATTAAGACAAGCTTCCAGGCAATGGTATGTCAAATTGTCTTCGACATTAAGAGCTTAAGGGTATACTTATTCTCAAGATGATTACTCACTCTTTCTTAATAAAAGTCCTTCCTCCATAATTACAGTTGTTGTGTATGTCGATGACATTTTAGTAACAGGGAATGATGCCAACGGAATCACCAATCTAAAAACATTCTTGAATGATCAATTTCAAATTAAAGATTGGGGATTAATTCATTTATTTCTTGGCATTGAGTTTGACAAGATTGAACAAGGAATAACTGTGCATCAAATTAAATACATTAAAGAATTACACTCTACCTATAACACCAATGATTCTGCCACATCTCCTCTCCCTGCTCAAGTCAAGCTTGTTCCAGTCATGGATGACCCTTTACCAGATGCTACTGTTTATAGACAACTTGTTGGCAAACTTAACTTCTTGGTTCATACAGACCATATTTGGCGTTTTCTGTTCAACATCTAAGTCAATTCACCAATACACCCTCTCAAGCTCATTATAATGATGCCTTACATGTCTTGAAATACCTCAAACGAACCATATCTCAAGCTTTATACTTCAACAATAAAGCTTCTTTCAAACTAGAAGCCTATTGTGATTCAGATTGGGCCTCATGCCCTATTACCATAAAATCTGTTAGTGGACATTTCATCACATTTGGAGACACTCCCATTTCTTGGAAATCGAAGAAGCAAGCCACAATCTCATTATCTTCAGTCGAGGCAGAATATAGATCGATGCGACGTGTATGTGTAGAGCTTGGATGGCTAAGCAGATTGTTCAATGAATTGGGTGTTCTAGATATTAATCTCATTCCTTTAAATGTGATAATATGGCATCTATTTATATTGCTTCTAATCATGTATTTCATGAGCGTACAAAGCATATAGAAATAGATTGTTCGTTAGAGAAAAGGTTACAGCCGACCTAATTTAGTTGGATCATGTTTCTACAAATGATAAGAAAGCTTATGTTTTTACAAAATAACTTCATGGCACTCATCATGCTAATGCAAGATCCAAGTTTGGTGTGTGTAATTGCCCACAAGCTTGAGGGGGGGGGGGGTGTTAGACAAGCTAAAAGTTAGTTAGAGTTAGTTACCCTCAAGGGTAAAATAGTCTTTATTTATCAAAAGTAGTTATTACTATTTTGATAGTTAGAGACCGTTACTATTTAAATGTGTTTAAAGTTTAATAAAAATACATAAATTTTATTAAAATTTCCATATATATATATATAGGGAAGGATTATTTGGAAAACAAAAAAACCCTAAAAAAAACTCTAAAAATCATAAAAATGCATAAAAAAAATACTTAGAGATCACAAAACTTTTTTTTATAGAAAAATCGCAGGTTTTTTAATAAAATCGCTGAAAAAAAATAAAAAATCAATTTTTTTTTAAATTGTTTTTTTTTTCAAAAAAAAAAATTTCAACGAATTTAAAGTAAAAACTGCGATTGTTTCATAAAAAAATTAAAAAAAAAGTTTTGTGATCTCTAAGTATTTATTTTATGCATTTTTTTGATTTTTAGGGTTTTTTGTTTTCCATAGAACCTAAACATATATATATATTATATATATATATATATATATATATATTATATATATATAGATATATAAATATATATAGATATATATATATATATATGTGTGTGTCTCTCCACACATAAAGTTATCAAAAATATACTTTTTTTTTCTTTATTGTTCTTATATGGAAATTAAAAGATCAATCATTTATACTTGAAACACTAATTGTTTACTAATAGTCAGAAAATATTTAAGCATTAAAAAAAATAAACATTTCGTGTTTTTTAGAAGAACTCTGATTTTACTTAGCCAAAAAGAGAAACCTAAAAGGGACAGTTTAACACATACATTTAATTTGGTTTGAGAGCTGGTTTTGTGTTTTTGGAAGTAAATACAAGATGGTTTTGATTTTGAAAATGGAAATTTTAATTTGAAAAAATATCTACAAAACAAGAAAAAATAAAAAATAGCCATCGTTTGTTGCTTTACCAAGTCGCTTCTTTGTTAAGATATTGGTTTTTAATACCTCTTTTGTACAAATTAAATATGATGGTAAATATATTATGTCCAAGTTTTTGGGAGTTGGATTTACGCTGATAAATTAGCTTTTTTGTCCATTTTTTTTTTCTGAGGATGAGCATATGTACAAGTGTACAACAATTTAATGTATGTCCTGTGCAGCCAAGTGGGTAGGGTGTCGACAGGGTCTACCTTTCACCTACAAATTTATATTTTTAATCTTTTTAAATTGCCAATCTAGAAGTTTAATATTATGTTCACATTTTAAGTTAATATATAGGACAGTGAAGTATGTACTTCGATTATTTTGTTGATGTACGATTTTAAAAATAGATTTTTTTTTTCTCCCTTTTGTAGGTAAAAACATATACTTTTGACTAGTAGTTTTGAATAGATGGATTATAATTATAAATATGGTAACAAAATCAATAGAAATATATCTTTAAAAATATGATATAGTTGAGAAATGAGAAATCTGTAACTTTCATGAACATAAACCTACAGATATTTTAGACCTAGTTAGATATATCCAGCCTTGTTCATGAAGCAGCCTCATGAATGCAACAACTTGAAGGGAGATCTAATAATTCAATAAATGTAAAGTGAATTTATTTTGGGGGCCAGAACATTTCATAAAAATTGAATGTTGAAAATAAAGTTGGTGATGGGTTGGATTTTCTATATCGGAGAAGTGGGGAAGAGACCAAACAAAAAACAAACTAAGTTCATGTGTAGAAGTAAGCTTCATTGTTTTTTTTTTCTTTCCTAATTGGGTTGATTTTGTTTAAATAATAATGGATGGTAATCCATCATTTTCCGTTCTTACTTATAAGTTATAACATAATCCAAAGTTCAAATATTCATACATATATACATAAATATGTGTGTGTAATCTATTGGGTGTTTATGTTTTGAAGATGAAATTTGTTGTCTTTTTGTCGCATCTTGAGTTCATCAAATCATTTCAAATGATAGCTCTAAAGATTACTTTGATATATTGGTGTAAATAACTTTTAAAAATAAATAAGTTAAACGATAATTAACAAGTATCCTACAAATCTTATAAGAAAAATGGTTCATGAAATACACGTTGTTTGTACTGGAACATATGTTCACTACAAAAGTAATGTACATAACTTTGGGCGACTTTGATTTGTAAGAATTCAGTGGGATAAGATGGAATGGAGTTCAATATTATTCCTTTTAACACAAATTTCATGTCATGTTTGATTTAATAATCTCAAGAAATCAAATTACGCCTCTTGAAAAATTTGGCATTTAGGGTATTTGATAATTGATTATTAAAAACTGTTCCCGTATAAGAAAAAAAAAATACGATGATATATATATATATATAATATATATATATATATATTATATTCTATATATATATATATATAATATTATGTACTATGTAGAAAATTGGTTTTCCACAGGACCAGCTTGAAGCAAGTTGGCATATTTGAAAAGAAGCTTCGTGTTCATTTGAAAAATCTTAGACGGTGAAATGTGGCATTAATGTGACACGTAAAATTAATTGTGTGACATTATTTGTTAGAATGACATTGAAGTTAACATATTGATGGTATAGTTAAGATATTGATATATCAACCAGAGCATGTGATTTTTATATGAATTTTTGGTTTACTTCTTGTCGTTTTCATGATATCTATAAATAAATCTTATGGTTTGTGACTTTGTGTTAGTGTTACTATATGATAATTATTTTAAGAAATGATAGGAAACAAACATATGATAATACCTAATTGAAGGTTAAAAAATCAAAAATTGGGCAAGAAGAGGGTAGATAGATGAAGTAATAAGAGTAATAATTTTAGGTACCCAATTCGTCACCAAACTTTTATATATTTACTTTACTTGAATACTTGTCTCCCTGGCTTTTAATTTAATTTTGCAAGCTCACCCATTTATCATTTATGAGGAATACCTAAAGTTTATATTTATATACGAACCTTCAACTCCCCCCGTCCCACCCTATCCAACCCCATTAATTATGCTCACGTTCTTTTTCCTTTTTATGGTTTAATACTTTAATGCTTTTCGCTTTGAAAGTCAATATACCTTTATGTTCAATAATTTAACACGTAAACACTTGATATCTAGTGGATAAATATTCATCAATCAATATATTATGTTGTTAAGAAAAAAAAAAACTAATGGAAATATTTTAGGCTAAACTAAACATTGGTTTTAATATAAAATTTTTAATTCTACTGAAGACATACATCATTTCCTTATATCATTTAACTTATTTATTTTTATATTTCAACTGTCTTTGTTTTTACAAGAAAAAGAAAATCAAATAAAAGTACAATAATCTTCGAATGTTTCAACCAAACGAATTTAATTCTGTAAAACGAGCTATTTAGCTAAATAATAATAATACAATTTTTTATTTTTTTTTTAATAAAACTTAAGTTGTTATTTTTTTTCCTTCCCGCCAAACTAAAAAACTTACACAATAGTACCCCCAAGATTATGTAGTTTACACTCTACCGCCTTTTGTTCTTGCTTCCGATCAACAAGCAGAAGTAGAACAATATTCGGAAGAAGAAGCCCCATGCGATGGTGATCCAGAGGCACTCCCACTTGGTCAGATCATTGACGCCTTGCTGCTGCAGTATGTCGGAACCGGTGGTCAGACATGATCCGGCGGTGATGTTCACCCCTAATGTTTGGCTCATGCTTTGTAACAGCCTCAATTTGGTGGCTTCATCGGCTATGCCAAGAGGGCTGCCGTCGAAGATCTGAGTTCCTCGAACGAAACATCTTAATGGGTCTTGGAATTCGTTGTGTAAAACTGCTTCGTATGGATATTTGACCAAAGAAATATAGTGAAACCATATCCAGTAATCGGGAATTCGATCACGATTGATGAAGAAGCCACTGAACAGGAGGTAGTAAGCGAGAATTGCGACGACAATCACGTACCCGATCATAACATGTGGGATAACGCCGGAGAGAAATGTCACGAACGAGCTTCCGGCCCAAAACGAGGCCAAGATTATGGCGAAGTAGAACAAGAAGCCTTTACCTCCGCCGGCGAGTCCGACAGCCCAAAATGTGATTACTGCGAATGCCAAGGAGAGGAAAATGAGAGTTGGGATCGCTACGAGTGAAGAAGAGAGGACGTAGGAAGAACGTCTGTAAGCATTGTAAGCGGTTTCTCTCATGAAAATGAAACGTTCATGGAGGAAAACAGGTAATGCGTCTGCACAAGTGTAGAACGTTGTCGACATGGCAAAAGCGAAGAATCCGAGTCGTTCACGAACGCCTCTCGGAGAATCATCCAGCTTCCAAAACACGGTGGCGAGTATAAAACCAGTCACCACAACTGCACCCAACCTGGTAATGAATAGTTCCGGCGTTCTCCATTGATTTTTGAAAGCCCGCCTTGACAAAACCATCATCTCCGTCCATATTGGATTTGCAAAGGTAGGGACCATGGAGCTTCTGTTAGGGTCGCTGGTGGCTCCGGAGACTAATTTGCCGCGTGATATACTCGCACTTATCGCTTCTGTAAGCGATAAGCCATGTGTCGGAGTTTCGTTGCCGGTGGTTTGGGTGTGTCGGGATCGCTTCAGGAGTTGCCAAGATTTGTTGAATTCGACTAGGCTTTTTGTTCCTCCAGGAGAACCTTCGAGATCTCTGATCAAATCGAGGGCAAATTCCGTACGATTTTCTTTCTCCGGAATTGGATGGCCAAAATCGGCGAAGAAGGAAAGGGAGATTTGCCGGCGAGCCACTGTAAACAGTCTGTCCACGAGACAGAAACAATAGCCGGTCGAGTAACCCGAGAAGCCGGTAACTTGGCTGGTGTACGGACATTATGACGATGCTTCCGGTTTGTGCAATACGTTGCAGCACCTTGACTACCATGTAAGCACTGGTGGAGTCGAGGCCGGACGTTGGCTCATCCAGAAACAGGAGAATAGGATCGTGAATGATATCAGCTCCGATGGAAACACGTCGTCGTTCTCCGCCTGAGACTCCTCTGTGTCCTTCGTCACCGATGATTGTTTTGGCGGCGTTTCGGAGCCCTAACTGATCAATTAGGGCTTGAACTCTAAGCTTCTTCTTTGTTTTTGATAGCGACCGAGGGAGGCGGAACTCGGCAGCGTACATCAACGTTTCTTCCACGGTTAACATCGGAAATAACAGATCGTCTTGCATGACATAAGCTGAGATCACCTTTAGCAATCTGGATTCTAATTGATCTCCATTCAAAGTTATGTTACCTTTCAAACTTCCTTTGGAGATTCGATTCGCCAAAGCATCAATCAAAGTAGATTTCCCAGATCCACTAGCTCCAAGCACCGCCAGTATCTCGCCGTCCCTCGCTTGACCAGAAATTTCATTCAACAAAATCTTACTCCTCGAAACCAGCTTCTCTCCTCCAACTGGTTCCGCCGCCATCGCCGGAAGAGCGGCTGGCCTATTCCGACCCCCGAGAACAGCAGGAATCCCGAATTTGCTCGGTACCTTCACGCTATAGGTCAGATTACTGAAGGCCAAAACAAACGGCAACGGCTGAGGTTCGTTGCTCATTTGGTTCATTTCCAAAACACGATGACCTGTCGTCTCATCACCATTTACTTCATTAACATACTTCAAAAGCTCCCCAAGAGTCGGAGAGGCCGGCGCTAACCCGGACGTCTCCGGAATGTCCTCCACCCCAATACGAGCAGACATCTTTCCACTGGAAATTAAACGCTAATAATGCTAACACCAACGTAGATTTTTATATGTGCATAAATAGAATACAGACAGTATCATATATAAACCATCCGTTGATGCTGATTCTTTCCTGCGAAACGTCGTCGTTATTCTACAACAGATGATATATCGGTCTACAAGAGCAAAAATTATACCTTCTGCTTATTAAAACACTCTCAATGCATCATTGAAGCTGAACTTGTTTGTATATATATACACATATATAAATAGATAGGCAAAAGCTATTAATGGCGTGTTTGTTATATATATAGATATATATATATATATATATATATATATATATATAGATATTCTAATAAATGAATAATTTCAATCTCATGCCACATGTTTTATATATATATATATATATATATATATATATATATATATATATATATATATATTTTTGACATATGTCACTCTAATAGAACTATTCATTAATATCATGCCACATGTTAAAGAGATATATTAAGCAACACTTCAAAATTCAAATTTATTTTTTCTAATTATATGTTAACTTTGAAGTTATAATAACTTTAAAAATTTTATATATCTTATAATTAATGATTTATTTAAACTAATTGATAAATAATTTATTAATTTTTACTATGAAAATTTAATTTATTTTGTAACCGTGGTTCCCACGGGTTATAAACTACTATGTATATAAAAGATTAGGTTTAATCTCCTATTGGCAAGTGTCATACAATTAGAATTCCTGATTAATGTTATATATCACACTTGTCAACCTATTAATTATCCATTTCAAATTTTAAATTTCCATTCTAATTAGATTAAATTAATAATTGATTATCCATTTCAAATTTCAAAATTTAAATTTTCTCACTCTAATTACATTAAATTAATAATTGATTCTTAATTTTAAATTTTAAAATTTAATTTTTTTCACTCTAATTATATTAAATTAATAACATTAGATTGAAAAATAAAATAAAATTAATACATATTATAAGATGATATAACTTCACGTATTTATTTAAATCAACGATTATAATTTTATATAACTAAAAAATATCTCTTAATTAATAATTTATTTAAAATAATTAATTAATAATTTTGATTTTTTGATATGAAAGTTTAATTAATTTTATAATTGTGGTTCTCATGGGTTATAAACTAGTATGTATATATATATATTATATATATATATAATATATATAATATATATATATAATATATATATATATATATATATATATTGTAGCACCCGATTCCTGGTACGTATTTAATTTCATTGAAATGTTACAATTTACTCTGGGACTCGGCGAGTTGGAGGCCCAACTCGTCGAGTAGACTCGACTGTTGGATCGGGGGTTTAAGTGACCTACTCGACGAGTCGGAAGACCGACTCGACGAGTAGGAGCTGTGTGGACAAAACCCTAATATTTAGGGTTTGCACCCTATTTAAACACTTTATCTCGTCCCAACCCAACCTCCATCACCCTCCCAACTCAGAGAAACCCTGATTGAAACCCTAAACTATTTTTGAGTGATTTGAGCTCTTTTGGTGCCTTTTTGTGTATGTTTGAAGTTGAAGGAGAAGAAGAGAGCTTAGAAGATCAAGAGGAAGCTAGTAGATCCTAAGGTTTTGCTTTCATTCTCAGTCCATTCAAGGTAAAAAGCTTGAACCTTGACCATCTATTTCCTAGATCTTGTTTTGGGGCTATTTTCCACCTTTTTTAAGCTTTTGAGAAGCTATGTTCAGTTTTGCTTGTATATGTGGGTGGTGTTTCAGACCAGGAACCATTGAGGGTTCCCATGGCATAAAGGTGTCAACTTTATGGCCATGGGAGACCCATGCATCATATAAACCCCATTTTATAGCCTTTTGAGCCAAAAACCCCATGCATGGACATCAAGTTTTAGCTTTACGTATAAAAGGGACCCTAGGAGGTCAGATCTATGATTGGGATGTATTAAGTCCCACTGAAATCGACTATATAGTTTTAGACAAAGAGGGACTCGGCGAGTCACTTAGGTGACTCGCCGAGTCGGGACGCTTTTTCCCCCAAAGTGTCTCCTGGAAATGGTTTTGGTTAAGAGGAAGGAACACTCAGCCTGATAGCGGTTTGTTTTGGACCTGGAACTCATGGGACTCGACGAGTGTATGAACAGACTCGACGAGTCCAAGGCAATCTCCCAACTTATGAAGACGGACTCGGCGAGTTCAGGAGGAACTCGGCGAGTCATAGACCGAACATCTTCTTATGAATGAAGATGAACTCGGCGAGTTCAAGAACAAACTCAGCGAGTCGTTTGAAGATTGCCTGATGTGTTGTTGAAGGCGAACTCGTCGAGCTCTTGCTATACTCGACGGGTAGGAGCGAGTTTATGACATTTTGTGGTTATGGGCCAACTCGGCGAGTCGAGTCAATCAGATGTTGACTTTGACCAAAGTTGACTTTGACCATGGATTTGACTTGGGCATTGATTGGGTTTGGGTTGACCCTTGTAAGGGTTGCGAGTATGAGTATGAGTTGATAACTTGGAAGAGTTGTCGTGTAGGGATTGAGGAGTCAGGGAGAGTCGATTTACACATCGAGATTAGTGCAGACACTACGCGACATCGAGGTGAGATACCTTCCAGTAGGGTTGGGTCTACGGCCACAATGTCGGCCCACCAGTAGGAGTTGTATATTAGACGATTGTCTTTGTGATATAAATCTAGGTTTGCTACTACCTGTTATATTTTATGTGCTAGCATGATACAATGTTACGTGATGATGGTAGAAGGGGTAGTTTAGTACCCAGTTATGTTAGATTATGATTACGTGACTATATGTGATAGACCGGTCGAGAGGGCCGAAGGGGTTAGCCAACACCCAGATATGCTAGGCAAGGTCACCGGTCGAGAGGACCGAAGGGGTAGGCCAGCACCCAGATATGCTAGGCAAGGTCACCGGTCGAGAGGACCGAAGGGGTAGGTCGGGCACCCAGATATGCCTGACAGTATGTATGTTATGTGTTTGTATGGTATGTGGTATGATGGGGGAACTCACTAAGCGTCGTGCTTACAGTTTTCAGTTTTGTTGCAGGTACCCCTTCAGCAAAGGGGAAGGAGTCGGCGCGGTAGCGGCACATCACACTCACGCATGCTTTCCGCATTGAGTTTTCTGGGATTGTACTCTGATTATTACTATTATCCGATGATATGTTTTTGAACACGCGTAATGGTTTATGAATTAATATAATATTAGCAATGTTTGATATTATTTTCACACACAGATAAATTAATTAAAAATGAAATTTTTTAGCCTTGAAAATTGGGATGTTATATAATATATATAGATATATATATATATATATATATATATATTAATATTATTCAAATCGAATGTTTAGAATGTTTATATAATATAATAATATATATATTAGATATATATAATATATATATATATATAGATATATATATATTATATATAATATATAGGTTTAGGTTCTATGGAATAAAAAACCCTAAAATAATAAAAATGCATAAAAAATACTTAGAGATCACAAGAAATTTTTTTGAATGTTTTTTTAGAAAAAATCACAACAACAACAGCTTTTTCTTAAAATTCGCTGACAAAAAAAAATAAAATCAATTTTGTTTTAATAATTTTTTTCAGCGATTTGTATAGAAAGCTGCGATTTTTCAAAAAAATTTAAAAAAAGTTTTGTGATCTCTAAGTTTTTTTTTATGTCTTTTTATGATTTTAGGTTTTTTTTAGGTGTTTTTTGTTTTCCAAATAATCATTCCCATATATATATATATAATATATTATAATCTATATATATATGTATATAGATATATCTATCTATTTCTCTATATCTATATATATATTATATCCTATATAGATATAGGCTTGGGCGCACATTATTTTTCTTTTACGACTTGCGGATGATTCGACTGATTTTTTCCTATTTTTTCTTAATACGAAACTTGTATTATATAGTCTGCAGCGCGCACGACTATAGATTATTCTAATCAATGATTTAATTTTAATAATTATTACTTATTATGTGTAGCCTGAATTTGCGGGTGTTACAATTATCTCCCCTTAGGATGACTACGTCTCAGAATCATCAACAAAACAGAGCCTATATAATGACTCCACGCATTTCCTTTCCATCCTAGGTGGTAATTGTAACTCTTACGTCCTTTGAGTTTCTACCTCTTAGACTTCTTGACTGTTGATGGTGCTGCACCTACTCTTCCTCTTAAATTAAGGTCTTTACTTTGAATACAATAACATACCGATGGGTCATGTTCTAATGACCTCTCATCGTATGATGCAACGATTAACTCAGGTCTCTTTGTGTCAGACTCTAACATGAAGGGTACCTTCCTTCATGTTCTAATGTGATATAATCACATTCTGTCATGTATCATTTCTAGCTACGGGTTGCTTAATTTTAACGACGATCGCGATACCTCTATTGATCGCTTCGATTATATTTTCCTTCAATTTGCTACGTCGAACTCACTTTGTAGATTAGTCAGACTCGAAATTCAAGTGGAGCTCAAGGATTGAAGAAGATTTAGAAGATCTACACATTAATCTAGTTGGTTTGCCTATCATACTCATGTCTATTTATCTACTGGATATATTGGGTGTTTTTCTGCTACAATGAGAGCTACATACCTTTTACTTTTTTTGGTGAGATGACTTGATCCTATGTGTTGCTTTTGATATTTGGTTTATTATATTTGATTTTACTTGTGTTTGATATATATAAATCATAGCATGTTTAGTTCTAGTTTATATTGCTTACAAATCAGATTATGTGTGTTAATTAATCATATTAATTGCATGAATTTGTCTCATACTTGTTTATGACCATTAGATAATTAGAGATAGGATTAATTATATATTAGATTAAGTAATAAAAGCTAGTAACTTTAACTGTGTTAGAGAGCATAATTAATCATAATTTTGTTCTTGTTCTTAACTGATTCATAGTGAAGTAACTAC